TTAATGAATCCAAGTAAACGGTAGGCGGCCAAGGAATTATAACGTGCAATCGTGACTAGTGAGAGGGGGTGTGGTGGATGTGGGAGAGAAGTAATCTGCCTCAAAAGAGTCCAACAGTCCTTTCTGAACCAAAGTTTGGACCCTCCCAATCAAAAATTCCTGGATCCGCCCATGCATTCACAAAGAAGGTTGCTTAAGATTGTGTTCCCTAGGTAAGTAAACTAATTGAATCTACTGCTCACGAAAGTGTTTATCTAAATCATCACTCTGATCATTGTCGCCGTTGAGATTTCAGTTATCAATCTCATTGTCATTCCGATCGTTGAAATCGTACACTTCTTCATGGTCGAATCTGGGAGTAGCTAAAATATCGTATAACACGATTAAATATGGAAATGAAAATTAAAGTCCAGAAGACATGTATGCGACGAGACGCTAGCTAAGATCAATTACAGACATCAAGTAATCTTTCCCACGAGACACATTGTTCAAAGTTTCAACCAAATGGAAGATATCCATAAGGGATATTCTTACAATAAGGGGATCTGCGTCAGAGCTATAAAAAGACTACCTCACCTGGTTTCGTGCAGGCTTGGGTTGGAGCACATGCACAGTCGCCGCTAACACCTACTGAAATGTCTCGGACGCCAATCTGACCATTGCTATTGTCTTCGCTGACACTTTCAAATTTAACCTAAAAAAAGCAAAAACATGATGAATGTTATTTTCTGTGATAAAAAGAGATTTTTTTCTGTCGAAATACCACTAACCTTAAAACCTTGGGCTGCATCAATGCGAAATTGACCAAGTTCCCAGTCATCTCCTTGGCTACCAGCCAGTCGCCATGACAACGATACCTTGCCATCTTGACCAACAATGTAGACATTTAATCTGCCCACATTTTCTCCGGACATGTAGTAATCAAAGCTCAAACAATTAAACGTCTCCACAAGGAACTGGCTTTCCAGAACAGAGAGATTTCCGATTTGTCGAGGGTAAGCCAAGCTCGATTGGGCGTAGTGTATTACTGAACATAATAAAAAGATATCAAGACGTTGTTAGCCGACTATTTAGAAAATATAGCAATTTTCAACGGAACGTTGAAAGATATCCGGGATTACCTCGGTTTTTTTTCTAAGCTCTATGATTCACAAGAAAGCTCGCGACAATCTGTCAGCCAAGCAAGCATAAGACTAAAACCAATTACCAATTTTCAGTTGATATTGACGGATCTGTTCTAGTCAATGTTGTCTACAAACAAGGAAAAATCGAAAGTGCAAAAGATTCATGCACTTGGGTAACGCAATTACATCACGAATTCTGGTATCCAGTCCATTGCAAGGAAATTTGAGATATCCTGCAACTCACGAAGGGTGCTTACGAAACCCAAACAGACAATGTTAACCCAAACCAAACCAAGAGTTGGCAACGATTCCGAACCTTATCATAAAACCAACATGGGTAACATCGAGTTGCATGTGATTGGGCAGAGAGATGAAAGTAAATAGAACTCTAAGGAGACTCTTCCATCTAACAATTTACGGTATCAGAGTTGATCAGTCAAAGCATAGTTAACATAAGCTGTTACAAGCCATTTCAAGTTACCTTTACATCGATCTTTACACAATCAATTTCCCTAACCTTCTTCTCGAACCTCTACCTCACAAAGTTGCAAATTTCCGTCGTTCACAATCCTCGTAATGCCCACATATCTCCCTCGTAGAGGCACAGGGCAACGAGTTCTTTGCCAAGCTGAGTTCCTCAATCTAAATGGACTGCCACATATAGGATTTTCCTTTAAACTTGACCCACCATGATTTCCAATTCTTATCTCCAACAATACGCTCTTTTGGTATTCATAATACACAAAGACATATACATCACGAACCAATACGTCTCTTTCCAGGTGCACTTGCCACCATGGATCTTTCTCCGAGGTTGTAAGGCTACATTTTTCTGAGGGCGAATTATAACGACTGCCATCAGTGGCGAAGGATGAGGAATTAATGTCGCTCGATTGGGAGGTCGGCCTTCGAACTGCAGCATTGTAGTTAACTGCAGAGAGAGAAATATGTTAGTTTGCACTCGTAACTCTGCATGTGTTGTCTCCATTGAACAAAAACCTCTTATGAGGGGAAATTTCGTTTGGTTTTGAGGATGCCCTTTAACTGGTGATTTTACAACAATTGTCTGGATAAGTCAATTTTTGTTAAATTGCTTTGAAAAAAAGACCAAATATCTACAATCAATTATTTGACCTTCTTCCTCATATCCATTCAACAATGGCTTGTTTATCTTCTACGTGTAGTCTGTAATTTGGCCATCTGGTTCCATATCTTGTGCAATGGCATTGGTTTCACCTTGAATCATTTGGATTGTGATGGTATGACATACACAAGTCTTTAACCGATCGAGCCAAACACCTCAATGGGTGATGTTTAGTCGAGTGTTTGATTGATAAGAGGCTTACAAAAAAGGGACTTTTTTTCGGAGCATTCTTAGCACTAAGCAGGGTGAAGTGTTATAAGGGTAACGAGTAGTTTTTGTTTACTGTTGACCCAAGAATAGTGGCGACTGGATTTTCCAGCAAACCCTGTGTTTTAACCGATAATCATTAACGAATCCTTGGTTGATACCTCACTGAGGGAATTTACATCTTTGAACTAAGAAAAATTTGGAATACCCTCACCTATAATAAAGTAAAGATCCATGGCATTGAGTCCACCTTTGTTATCAACACACATGTTAGAACGTGCATATTCTGCGATAAAATCTAAATGGTTGCCTGGGGAAGAAAGACATTCACCGCCATGTTTGATAGCAAACACTGTAATATCTCTTCTTCGCGCAGCGTTGAGACATTTCTTGAAAACATCTACTCTAGTGGTCCAGTTCCCATCCAGCAAAGGGTCGGTACCATCCAAACTCGGTATCAGGGATCCAGAGTCAATTTTAAAACATCCAATATGATTGTATTCTGAGGAGGGGAATTAGTAAACATAATTACTATTAATACTGAGTAACTAGCATCGTTCAGTATGGTAAAACCACAAAAAACCGTACAATAATCCAACACGGATCTTTCGACGCAGTCAAACGCTGGGAAACCGAGTCTCCAACTACAAACAGCTAAAATATGAGTGAGGCGTTCTGATTTTAAATGAGTAATCCTATAGAAATGCATGGTTCATAACGAATCTGTTAGCTCCTATTAAAAAATTTCTTGCACGACCCTTCGTTTAAACTCAAGCTTTAAGTATGGTGGCGAATCCTTTCTAATCACACGAAGTCTCTTTTTAGACTGAAATGCAGCGGAATGTCCCAAAGTTTTGCTGAACAAACTTTTATTTATCAGTAAAGACATGAATTGCATAAATCGTTCCTCCGCGTTTTTAGTTAAAGCCTCGTACACAGGAGAATTGGTCCATTTGCTCCGCGCTAATTTTTCTACAAGTAATGCCAATCAATTTCAAGACGAAACGAACTGTGTTGCATCCCACCCTTCCAGGAGTTGTAAGGGTTTTTCTAATTTATCTATGTTTTATGTAGAAAGAATAACAGCTCGAATAAGGAAGAAACGAAAGTTTTCCAGGTCTTTTTGGAGGGTGACAGTGTAAGGCATTACTGTAACGTAAGATATACCCACCGTATTCTAGTGTGAAGGGATTTTCAACGTCGCTTAAATCTCCAAGATTATCTTCCTGACGAAGTTGTGTTAGCTTCCACTGGAAGTTGGGTCCGTATTCGCTTTTCCACGCATACCAAGGGAAGGCTACAACCCAACAGATTAAATTAGGCGTAGTTGAAAAAAAAAACAAAACAAAAAAAAAACAAACAAAAAAACAAACAAACAAACAGAGAGGGAAAATAAAAGAATGAAGGCGTGTAGAGAGAATTAGGTCACCTGCTTTACTATGAACAGCAGCCATTCTTTGTTGAGGAATAACCGACTCCCAAATCCTTAAATCAGCAATCTGTAAGTGGAATCTTCTTGGTAAGGGTGAATCGGACGAATCTCGTCCAATTAAAAAAAGTGTAAATTTATCCCCGAATTCGTAACGAATCCTTACAGGATTGCTTGAATCCGCTGTTAGGCTGCCATTTTGATAGAAGCGTAGTCCCCACTGTTTACTCCAAGTGATACCCACGTGTTGCCAGCCCAGGGGAAATTCCGGGAGCCGTATTTCCCAATTATGGGTTCTCGTGGACCCCGCAAGAACGTACTTGTTTTCAAACTCGCTGTATCCAAAAAGAACACCAGGATTGTGTGCAGCGATGCTTTTCGTTGTAAGAATGACATCTATGCTTTCTGTTCAAAAGTTGAAATAGCAAACACAAACCATCAGCTGGACAACACTTGCATATTTAAACCAACAGTATGATTAATGTTAATTGCAATTACAATATAAAGAAATTGAGCTCATCATATCATACAAAAAGCAGCTAATAATGGAACGAAATCATTTAACATGAGACATCAAAAATGACACAAGGGTAAACAAGGGGCATGCCACTACCTATAACCACAACATGTTAACTGAGTACAATAAAAAGCACGTTCTAGCTGAGCACAATAATAGTGCAATAGAACTTTGATACCTTGAAGCAAACTATACCGAGGCATAAGTCACCTGACTTCAAAACAAAAAATTTAAATGCAATTGGTTAAACCTTTTTCGCAAGCAACGTGTCTTGTTCCTCCACAGCCGTAGTCATTCCACTTCAACGACTGGCGCGTATCTGTTTCATGATAGGAAGCACAGGCCTCATTTCCTCCATAATCGTTAGGTTCATTGTTATTCCAGTTAGTATAGGTTGGCAAAGACCCATCGCTCCACTTGAATATACTCCTATGTGTGTCGTCTCGTTGCAGACCCAGCCACCAGTACTTTCCATTCCTTTTGAGGAATTCATTCTCCTCAGCAGACGACACTTTGGGAAGATCTGCGCCATGATTACGACAGAATGTCATGGCGTTGGACCAGGATACTTGGTGGTCCGTCAGCCAGTAACAGGAACCTTCGAAATACTCCCAGCCAGATGGACAGCGAACTGATGGAGAAACTAAGGTAGAAAAATAAATTGAGAAGCAGCCCATGGAGTGAAAGTTGAAATGAATGAGCATGCGAACGGAAAACTTACCATGGTCACAATTCATGCAGTAACAATATACATTTTTACAATGCAAAAGGAATGAGGAATGACCTACTTTTGAACGTTGAAACGATATCACTTTAAACTTACCAGAACGCAAAACCGCAGTCGTTTTGTATATGAAAGCACTGAGGCTAAACTTTTCAAACCAGTGTTAATTCAAACTCGTGTAAATATTCTCCAAAAAGGTGGAAAAATGCTTCAGAAAACACATAACTGTTTCATGTACCATTGCAAAAAGAATCCTCAAAATCCAATCTTTTGTGCATTTGGAAATACCCGGAGTATCCTAACCGTTCAAAAATTGTCTTCGAATTTCAAGATGGACGCCGCTATTTTGGAAAAAACTCGGTAACTCTACACTCGGTTCTCAAATAGATCGATTTCCACGCGTAATTTTTGGTCTGGGTCTCGCCCTAAGCAATCATCACAAGATAAAGAATATCAAACCCAAAATGGAATTGTCATAAAGATACACCTTGTTATGGCGGAGACATAATATCGTTTCTCAAGTACACTTGTCCCTCAAATGCTACTATCCCCCTTAAGTATATGGTGATCCCAGGAAAATAGTATGGTTATAATTCTATCTAAACGCTTAAGTATGGTATTTAAAATGTTACTACAAAACTTTTGAACTCCGTTGCTGAGTAAAGAGAGCATTTCGATTGAGTGCCTTTAACCAAAACCAAAGTAATCACGACAGCTGCCAATCAGACTGAAGAAAAATAGGAGAACGAGCCCATGATAAAGTAAGCTGTTGTGATTGGTTCTAGTTTTTAATCTGATTGTTTGGCAGGGTGGCAAAAATTTTAAGGGCCACAGCGAAGTAAGGCACAACCAAGGTAATCCTGCGTTGGTTTCGACACTTAATTGAAAATTCCCTCTAACTCATTGCATCTTACATTCGTAATAAAAGGTTTCCAAGTCATCTACCACAAATCCTTTTCTACCAGCTAATAAGTGATCCTGTTCATCTGATGTCAAAGTTATATGAGAAGGAAATTGATAAGCATTGGGAAGATCTGTGGACGACTTCATGGACACTGTGGAATTGGAGTCAATTACAAGGTCAGTTTCGCCAAATATGGGGCCAGACTGGTTCTGTTGTTTGGCTGCTTTACTCCAGTGGTCAGACTTGATGTCCATTTTGAAGGAATCAAGTCCCCGTAAGTTCTTTAAACTGAAGATGAATGCTTTTGAGCTGTTGATAAATCCGTCATTACCTAACAGAGACAGGCAAGGCAGGAAACATGAGCTACTTGTCAATTTAAAACATCTTTCTATAGTTAGATGGTAAAGTTTAGAGAGTCAGGAAGGTGTAGAGCAGAATTTGATTGAAAAATTTAGGATTTCGTTTGAGGTATTTTGACTCAAACTCAATTTCTTTATTTACCTGTAGCGCCTGCAAAAGAGCTTCCGGCTCAAGAATCGGCTTGTTCAGCCACTATAAGCGCTGCATTTTCAAAAGAGTCTGACCACGAGTGAAGTTATGCCACAGTCTCACGAGATGAAAGGTTGCCAATTAGGGTATTTTGGCTTATCTACACAACATACTGAACATAACAAAGAGTTCTTAATTTTACAATAATCTGAATTTTTCTCATTTCTCTTTCAAGTTAAAGTTTTCTTTACAGCTATTGCAGTGAAAGAGAAATTATTTCGAAAAACGTTTACTCACATATCTCCATCCTCAAGTTTTTTTTTCGTCAATGGGATTACAAAATAATTGTGTATCAGTTTTTCTTTAACGAACGTGGCACGAAAATAAGTTTGGACCTAAATTCTCACCTCCCCAGCTTTTGTCGAGAAATCCACCAAATAGGTTTTCTCGTACTCTTATGAAAGTAACCGTTGGTCCTTTTCCGTCACATGCCGAATGAAAATCATGTCCTTGCCAGCCAGGAAAAGCTTTAAAACAGCGATACCAGTTTCCATCTTGGGAAAGAACACCATTCAGCAAAGTTCCAAGAAATACATCATGTTCATCACTAAATCCAGTGATGTTGGTAATGAAGCGAACTGCAATAAGATACCAAGGCTCAAATTGCAATTTGGTTATTTCCACAAACATAATTAAGTAAAAGATTTCTAACTCACTTGTCGATCGCTTGCAACAAACAGTGCAATTCTGTTTGAAGCTTCTGAGGAAGTTAAATTCAATTTTCGTTATACTTCAGTGTCGTAAAGAATTAACATTCCTGACTTAAGTAAAGGTTTGAAGGTGACCTTCTGTACCATAAATGGACTTATTTAATCACTTTCACCAGAGTGTGGTGAGGGTCGCACAACAGAGCGAGGCTCCAAATTAAGTGGACCCAATATCCCACCCATCCCACCCCAGGGAAGGACATCCATCACACTGTAATCTCGTGCGTGGAAAATTAACGTCTCCTATCCCAACCCTGCAGGAGACGGGACCTCCATTTATTCGTCCCTATCCGAGAAGACTAGAATATCTAACCATTTCTTGACGTTATAGAAAGGTAGCAAATTCTTCTCAATTATTTTAAGACCCTGAGTGTTGGTCCGGCCGGGGCTCGAACCCTCGACCTCCCGCACAACAGTCCAGCGCTCTATCCATTGAGCTAACCGGGAGGACGATTCGAAACACAATACGTAGCTCAGGGCCTCAGTCGAATCGTCCATTTATCATTTCTTAACTTTGGTTCGGACTTGAAGCAAACTTGTCACAAACTAATTTATAAAGCATGCACAAGACTGTTTGATTATGGAAAAGAAATGTCACACAAATAAAGTCGACATTTGGATGGCAACCAAAGTTGACTAAAGAAAACACACAGGTCAGCCCCAGGCCTCAACGGCACATGACATTTCTCGCCACCATTCACAATGTACAACGTCTTCTCTCCAGTGGTAAAGCATCGGACTAATGATGCAATTGTCTGGGACAGAATTAACAAGTACAATCAAACAAAGATTAAACTTACATTTATGTCGAAGCCAGAAACTTAGCGAAAATCCATGCCGACAAAGACTTGGGTCACTCAGGCACTCTGATTCGTAATTGTCGAAGTCGATGAAATCTGATGCCGTGACACTGGCCGCGCCTTTTAGTGAGTCCCAGTCCTCGGTTAAGAAAGTTCCTTTTTTACCGGAGAGACCATCATAAGTCTCATTCGATATAGTAGATTTTTTGAAGATCCAATGTGACGACTCTGAACGGGTTAAAAAAATAACAAAGTAAAAATAGTTAACGAAAGCGTAACTTTTTATATGCGTCTAATTAGGCAATCTCTCTTCCAGAAAAAATTTCGTACTTCGATTGTTTGCCATGAAACTTTTACTTTGCTCCGTCTCTTTATACGGTTTTCAAACCGTAATCACACTCCCCCTTCCACTTCTAAAGCTAGCGGGGGAAGAGCAAGGAAGAGCTCTTTGTCAACTTACCTTGAAATATACAGAGTGAAGTGCTGACTTTGGGAACATTTCCTTTCCGCCATAAATATACTTCCGGCCACGGTACGATATTTCCGGTCATTGATGAGCACGCATACGCCATTTCCTCAATCTGAGACGTAATTTTCATGTATTTATCCCACATGTTGAATCCAGTAATGACGCCACTAAACATTCCAACCTTCAAGAAACTGGTTCCTGTGCTAAAGTTACTGGCCAAGCCTACCCCTTCTTCTCTCTTAACGCCGTCAGTGTAAAACATCCAGCTCCCACTGAGAGAGAGTCTTGTAATGCACACATGGTGCCATTCATCATTTGTTACGACGGCATCCAGCACGGTGAAGGTTCTAGATATTTAAAGTAGGAAAATAAATTAATAGGGGACAAGATTGGGTTTCAACAACTGCAAGGAAGCTTCACACAGGGGACTGGACTTAGATCATTTATTGCCGGGGGGAGAGGGTGGATAATTTTGGGGTGATTCACACAATTTTTTACTGAGATCGGAGGTGGATCAGTCGCCACCAACAGGGTATAAGGGGGTACGAAAGTAAATTGACTACTAATAAACAGCCAATGAGGGGGGATTATATAAAAATAACAGAACCTCATGGGGGATAAGGTAAATTCCATCGTGACACAACTAAAAACCTTCGACCCACTACCCCCTAGCAATAATCGTAACCGGTCCTTAAAGGATTTCTTTTCAAATTAGACCTTTTGGCAAGCTGGAAGAGGGTTACCAATCACAAATGATTACGGAGCAGATCCGGTTAATCTGGTTTCGCTTAATGTGGAAACCGAATAATTTGGCTGCGGAAAGACCTCCCTAGAAATGTGACTTGTGAAAACGGTGTTGCATAGAAATGTTCGAGGTACAAACGACGTATAGGTCTGGCTGTGATGCCGTATTTAAACGGAATTTTTGGTATGTGATCTCCACGGCTAGTTTATTTGGGTTTCTATGTAAGTCAACACTTACATCTCATCATTGTTTACTTGAAAGGCATGGTCGGCAGTACCCCTGAAGGAGAAGCTCAGGACAACTTGATCTGTATGTTGATGAAGTGAGAATACTTTTGACCAGCTTGACGTTTCTTTGGTCTTCATCCACCAACAGGCCGTGACATCCTGAAGGTCAGTGATCCGAGGAAGATGCACGTAATCAGCTGGACTCCCACTGAAGACCAGGTTATATGACCACTCACGTTCTTTGGACAGAAAAAAATGACAAAAAAAAAAAAAACAATCAAACAAAAGGTAGTAATCATGTTGACATTAATCTAGAACTCACGCTGTACTTTGGTTTCCATTTTTCTTCTATGTAAGCAAACATCATGGGAAAGTTTCATCTTATTCGGTGAAACAAAACTGGAGCAAATTGCCAATCTAGACGTTTCGTAAGTTAATCCAAGATGGCGACTATCCTGTATATCATGTCTGATGACAACACAATCCTTTTTTCACCCCCGGTTCCCCCTCCCCCCTCCCCCCTGATGATGCCACGAACAATAGAATTTATCTTTTACAGCCCAACAAATGATGTGCGAGAGCATATCACACACTTCTGATAAGAGCCATAACCGGAGAATAAGGCTGCAAGGTTGCACTCTTTCTGCAACTTCCTTGGCCGTTACGAACTCTAAAACTATCATTTCCTTCTATTTATCCCATGCTGTCTAAACACTTTACCTCGGTGGGGTTTTAATTTCATCTCGGATTCCTTGAGAGGAATATAGTCCCCCTTCCAGTGGTACCAAGAAACACTCGCAGGTCCTTCTCCAGTGTACAGACCATTTAAATTTGACCATTGGCAATTTTTGTACCACCAAGCCCCTGTCGAATATTGTGCACAGGTTCCATTGGCAAAGTCGTTGTCTCGATCCTTTGTGCTAAACATCATATCCTGGTGTTGACCAGAAAAGGAATCTCCCGCTGTACCAGAAAACTCCGCAAAATGTAAAACATACTTTTCGTCCTCTGAGCCCACTTGAAAGGACTGATAAGACGCATGCACCGTAAAGTTTGCATGGTCTTTGAGCTCGATTAAAAGTTGTGAATTATGAGATGTTATTCTGTGAATGTTCTCATTTCCGAGCCAAAATTCAGAGGATAAATTACCGAAGCCATTTTTGTAATCAATCCAGTTCAGATAAAAGTCAACTGAACCATCCCGTCTACGTTGGAAGACAGTCCATCCTCCTCCATTAGTTTCCTGGTCACAAAAAACGGAAAAAGTATTATTTCCATCTGGGTTGACGTTATAGATGCCACTATCGGTATGACCTTCGTGAAGCAGATCCAAGCAGTCGCGCCCATGTACTACAAAGAGACAAACAAAGTTCAGAATTCTGTGTCTAATTTATGGTTACTAATAACAACATTGTTTCTTATTAAGAGCCTGCAGTACAGTAACTTTGAAAAAATAAAATTTTCAGAGGTAACGTGTCATTATTAGCTACAACCACTGAGGCTTTGCACGCGAAAATAATGTATTTTCCTGTTATATAATGGGTTTTATAAACAATTTTGTGCTACTTAAGGGAACGTTAACTCGTTTAATCTTAGCTTCACTCGTTGGAAATAAAATGCTGATGCATTCGTTTTGCACGGAAAACGTCAGTCAGCAAGAGGTTCATAATTGACAAGGCGCTAAACTGTTCAGTACCTACCCAGATGGAAATATGATGATAAAGCCAAAACATAAAGGCCCTGCAAAACAAAATAAATGTTTAATTCAAGTGTGACTGATTGGATCACCAAATACGGAAAGGCAGTCTTGACACTTGTTATTTGAGTACGGTCAGAAACAGAAACTGTTCCAACAATGAATATTTTGAGCATAACTTCTTCGCTAATAATAGATAAATGTAAGCCCTGATTGGTCGAGCATCAGTGCGTCATACTATGCGAAGCACAGCAAGGCACGGATTAAAATAAACCCTTTGCTCTGCTTTGATTTCTTTAATCTGAGGATTTGAAAGGTATGTTATAATTTTCTATATCAGCGTCATGTTGAGTTTATATTTCTGTTCTTAGACACATGTGCATAACAACTTTATTGATCGAAATCCATGATGTTGCTTATTAGCACCATGGCGTCTCCTTATTAGGAAGAGGAAATTGAGAAACATGGTTGAATATTGAGGATCATCGACGATATGTCTTCCGCTACACTTTGGCTCCTCCGGAGCGACAGTTATCAGCAACAGAACACATATTGAACACATGAATTTTTCAAATCACTCTCTCAAGGATAAAACTATTTTTCTCGTAAATAGTTCCATGAAATCTTGAATCGTTTTATTTGTAAACGAAAGGTTAAAATGATTCATTCCGCGTCACTGATATCAGGATTTCAAATCTTCATTGCCTTTCATAAAAATGAGCGTCTTTGGTAATTAAGTTTCTTTTAACGCGGGCCCCTTCGTTTAAAAAGTTAAACTATATTACGGTACGCACGTAAATCCAACATAACATGAAGTGATTAGCCTCAATTCAGCTGCAAATTTTCCGACGAGTTTAGCCGCGAGATTTCAAACCTTTCAAGATTGTTTTTCCGTTCCACTCCAATTGGGGCTCAAAATGGAAAAAAGATATGCTAAGCAATGCTCGTTTCCAACAAGTAGCTCTATCAAGCGACGAACTGAATTAGCTTTGCAGTGCACAGTACTTCATTTCCAACCGATATGAGTGATGGCTGGAGAGAGAAAACTGAGTTTACTGAATTCAAGCGAGGCTTTGCAACAGTAGGACCCTTCTTTAAAATTGTAAATATTTTTTTTAAGCGCTGATGTCCTAAAAGGTTGCTCAGAAGAAGATTTTGTTTTAAAATCGTACAATTTATAATAAGGTATGTAACTTTCTGGCCGTGAATTCTAGTGAATTAGTCTCGCACTCAAGAAACTGGGCCAGCTCTCAGCTAGCGCTCGAGCAACTTTTATGCCTCTCTCGTGTTCTTAAAACTTCCTGTATGTATCCATAACTCGATATAGGTCAGTACAGCTAAAGGTATGGATTCATTCTTTGACGTCAACGAGTGACTATCTTTTCTAAGTCTCTATGGACTGTTTATCGGTCTATAAGCTGCCTAAACATCAGTTGACTTGAGTTGCCATCAAGTTTATAAATAATTTGACTACGATTAAATCATTCATTTCCTCTCGGGAAGTGCTTTGTAAGAGACTCGACGTTAGTTCTAACGTCATCGTGCATCGCAAATTTTTGCACAAAGTTGTATAAAGTCTTAAGATTTTGATGCGATTCTTTGCCAAAGATAGCCAGAAATTCAATGAATATTTTTTAATGCTTACAAACTAATCTAAAGACACAGAATACCTAATAAAGAAAATTCATGTAAGATCAGTCTTACCAGCATATGCACGCAATGGTTCCTCATCCAAGCTTTTGGATCGCAGTGGTATTAAAACTTTCTCTTTAATTCTTACTACAGATATCAAGGTAGGGGTAACTTTTCGAAGAGCTATATACGCTCTGTGCCATTGCTAAAAAATATATTTTATCATACTGTGGCGTGTTTCTCGTTCTCCTTGAATCTCCGTTTTAATTTTGATCAATTTGAACTTCGGCATAAAAACACCTGCCGCCCAGTTGGGCGGGCAATTTACAATTTTTTTTTTTGCATAATCTCGGTAGCTCCAACTGAGATGTTAATTTACGCCAGTCTTTCTGACTATTTATTACCTCAATTTGCCTGGTTATGATTGCTTTGCGAGGTAATTTATTTTTTTAAGCTTCCTTCAGCTTCCTTTGAGCACATAGTTCTTCTGATTTTCAGACTCCTTACGATTAATTCGTATCTAAAACGGTGTTTGGCCTGACTCTGTAATTGCGTGACTCTACACTTACCTTTGAACCATTTTGACAAACTCAGTAATAGATACCTGAGTTGTTTATCTAAATATAACATCAACACCGGCAGAAACCTAAAAACCTAAAACACCAAATAAAAGAGGAACGGAAACTTATTCTCTGGTATTTGAATAACTAAAAAGATGTGGCTAAATAATGATAATTACGTATGATGCACGATCCTCGCAGTAGATAGCGCTATTATGCAATAGCGAAAATCAGACCTGAAAAAAATCAGGCCTGTACGGGATTCCAACCACTGACCTCTGCGATACTAGTGCAGCGCTCTACCAATTGAGCTAACAAGCCAACTGGGAGCAGGCCGTTAAGTTGATTCGTAATAAACCCGTGATGATAAATCAGATACAATGATTTTCGCTATTGCATAAATAGCGCTCTCTACTGCGAGGATCGTGTATCATACGTATCTAATACCGCAGTCCAAAATATATGAACTTTCATATATTCATTGTACGTATCTGATTTATCATCACGGGTTTATAACGAATCAACTTAAAGTGCCTATGAAGTAAAAATTTTTTTTGCCCCGTTTGTTTGCTTATGTCTTGATGGACACAGCTGAGCGATTTTGACCGACCAAAAGAACTTTCTTGTATTAT